TGTTCACCATTATTCCCTGTACCTGAGTTGGTACTGGGTCCATGAATAGTTAAGCACTGAAAATAATGTTTGCTATGTTGGGCATGGTGCCATGGGTCTATAGTCCCAGATACTCAGGAGGCTGAGGCTGGAAGATTGATTGAGCCCAGGAATTAGAGGCCAGCCTGAACATTGTCTTGAAAAAAGTAAATAGTTAAAAGGCAAATTAGAATAAGATACCACTTTCACTTGAAAGGATTGGCCATATTGAGAGTTTGATGAGGACCTGGAAAAAACAGAACACTTGTACATATTATTGCAGTAGGTAGGTTGAAGCATTTGTTCAAATGTACAGTGTTTGATACACATTGATCAAGCAATTTCATTCGTGTGTATTTCTTCTATAAAGCACAGAAGCACGAATATATACAACAGTGCTCCCAGAAGTTGTTCCAACTATTATAGACACCTTTCAGGAGGAGGTTGACTTTAAAAAAGGAGAGCACACTCATAAAATGAAATTCTATACTATGCAGCCATTATAAGGAATAGTTAATATTGGAAATGATGACTGGTAGATATTAGGTAAGAAAAGTTGTAGAAAAGTGTAAAGCATAATTCCATTATGTATTTTAGAAACCCTACATATGTAAATGCAAACAAAAACTACAGTATTTTTAAAAATGAGAGTAGAAAGTAAATAAAGCAAACTGTTAATTAGGATTACCTCCCAAAGTGGGGATGGCCACATTAGGGGTGGATGAGGGAAAGAGGCATTTCCACTTTTGTTTCAGTTTCTTTAAATTATTGAAACAAGCAGGTCTTACAGTTAAAAAAAATACTTAAAATACCCTAAAGTCTTGTTTGCAGAAAAAAAACTCTAAGGTAAGGTATATGTTGCTTCTGCTAAAATAAAGCTACAATTCTTAGCAAAGCACTGTGGCAACACAACCTGTAATCCCACTCTGGAGACTGAAGCAGGAGGGTCTTAAACTTAAGGACAGCCTTAGCAATTCAATGAGACCATGTCTCAAAATTAAAAGGCTAGGGATGTAGCACAGTGGTAGAGTAGCCCTGGGCTGGGTTCAATCCCCACTAAAACACACACACACACACACACACACACACACACACCACACGCTTGCTTTTTCTTTTTAAAGCTAAAACTCTTGAGTGCACCCCCCCCCCAAAAAAAAAAAAAAAAGCCTTAGGATGAGCTACCATCCACAGATCACCTGTATGTCTTTATCTCAGTCTTTAAATTCTACTCAAGGTCTGAAAGAAGCTACTGTTAATGACAGTAGGCCTGTGTTTATCATCACTAGCAATTAGAGAAATGCARATGAAAACCACTCTAAGATTTCATCTTACTCCAGTCAGAATGGCAGCTATTATGCATACAAACAACAATAAGTGTTGGCAAGGATGTGGGGAAAATGGTATGCTCATACACTGCTAGTGGGACTGCAAATTGGTGCAGCCAATATGGAAAACAGTATGGACATTACTTGGAAAATTGAGAATGGAACCACCATTTGACCCAGCTGTCCCTCTCCTTGGTCTATTCCCAAAGGATTTAAAAACAGCATACTACAGGGACACAGCCATATCAATTCACAATAGCTAAACTGTGGAACCAACCTAGATGCCCTTCAGTAGATGAATGGATAAAAAAAAAAAAAAGTGGCATATATTCACAATGGAATATTACTCAGCAGTAAAATAGAATAAAATCATGGCATTTACAGGTAAATGGATGGGATTAGAAAAGATAATGCTAAGTGAAGTTAGCCAATTCCAAAAAAACAAATGCCGAATGTTTTCTTTGATATAAGGAGGCTGATTCATAGTGGGATAGGGAGAGGGAGCATGGGAGGAACAGACAACTCTAGATAGGGCAGAGGGGTTGGAGGGGAAGGGAGGGGGCATGGGGTAATTAATGATGGTGGAATGTGATGATCATTACTATCCAAAATACATGTATAGGGGCTGGGGTTGTAGCTCAGTGGTAGAGCACTCTAATCTAGCCCCTGCGAGGCCCTGGGTTTGATCTTCAGCACCACATAAAAGTAAGTAAAATAAAGAAAGGTATTGTGTCCAAATATACCTAAAAAATAAATATTTTAAAAAAGAAGAAGAAAATACATGTATAAAGACACAAATCGGTGTGAATATACTATGTATACAACCAGAGATATGAAAAATTGTGTTTATATATGTAATAAGAATTGTAATACATTCTGTTGCAATATATAAATAAAAATAATAATAATTTTAAAAAAAAGAAAGTGGGTCTGAAGTTCAGGGGTGGGCATGCTCCCAGAAAGGAAGGAACTAAGAACTTATTCTGCTTTTGCAAGTAAGCGATCCTCCCACAGAGGTGCTGGGAGCTCTGAACAAGTTTCCATGGGTCCTCCTCTCTTCTTCCGTTTATTAGCCAAGATCTAAATCTCAAAACAGGGAGACCAAGAAGCCCTGGGGTCCATGTTATTCCTATGTCGGCTTGGAAAATATCAAGCCACTTCTCATTTAGGATCATCCTTATGAGTAGGAAAGGGGTGTGAACGCGGGCGGCGCGGGGCCCTCGCCACCGTGTCTGGAGCGTGCGGACGAAGGGATCCGGTTTGGCCCGCAGCTGGCGGCCCCCGCGCGGGAGGAGACGCAGCGGTCCCTGTCCTCGAGGCCTCAGAKGTCCAGCCTTCACGTTCCCCACCGCGGGGCCAAGGGGGAGGCTGCAAGGTCMTGTTCCCCGGACCTAGAAGGGGACTCCGCCAGCTTGCAGAGGAGGGTCAGGGCTGGAACCCAGGGTCACGCTCGGCCTTCGCCCTCCCCCGCCAGCTTCGGGAACTTTCTGGCATCACTTAGCCGACTGGATGCTTGGTCCTTGGCCGACCCCCACATTTAGCAACCAAACCACAGCCAGGCCCAGGGTGAGGGTCTTCCCGCCCAGAGGCAAGTCGCTAGTTCCTTTTAGCGAAGGGGAAACGGCGGACGACTGGGGTGGCTAGGAACCGGCCAAGGTCACCCACCTTTACCAGGGTTTCCCCACCCTAGATGTTTCCATCTGTGAATGTGAATAGAATTAAGCTCTCCCTTTTCTTCTTCAAAGGCCGGCATGCGGAATAAAAATGTGGTCGTTGAGCACCGGTACGGGTTTGGACTTTGGTTTTCAGAGCCCAGTGCTTCCAAGGTCGCAAGTATTAGTCAGAAAGGTCATAGGAGACGATACGGGGTGGGGGATGGGGGTGGCCCTTGGTGGTTGAAAGTCACTTAAGGAGTAAAAGCCCCAAACGACCATCTCCTTACTAGGCGTCGGTGACCAAGGTCCACCTGATCACCTGGCAGGTTTGACGCCACCCTGGATCAGGTTCATCTCTTAGGAACTCGAAACCGAGAGACAGGAGCGCAAATCTAGGATGGGGTCCCCGCTTTGGGGACGCCTGTTCAGGGCGGGTGAGAGCGCAGAGGTGATTCCTAGCGACCCTTGCCCAGCTTTGGGCTCACAGAAGCCTGGAGCCGCAATAGTGCCAGCCTCAGAAAGCGGGTAGCAAGCGCTCTCCACTAGAATCCAGGGAGGGTTTGGAGGACTGATGAGTTAAGTGGACGACCTCTGGGGACCCTGGGGCGATTCGAGTTCCGGCCAATGACTGCGGTGGGCGGGGAGAAGGTGGACCTGGGAACCTGCGTGGGCCCGATCCCTTCCCTCGCCCTMTAGGTGCCGGCGGCCCCTCCCGCCCACCCTTCTGTTTTAAACCCTCTCGTCCCTAGAGGCTTGCCGGAAGTCTCCTAGTCCCTAGCGCACGCCCAACTCCTGGGTCCTGGGCAGTTGGATTCCCAGAGGTAGGTGACCCTGGGTAGGGGACCCAGTGTTCCAGGCTGCTCGCTAGCGCAGTTGGTTTGGATGGTCTTTTTTGTTCTCGCAGGGGCTTTTTCTCCTAATGTCTTTCGACCCCCAAGTTCCAGATCCTTGGGGTCGGATGTGGCAGGGAGGAGGCTGGGGAGGAGACCGGGAGATGCGTGTGTCGGCTGACCTCTTCTCCTGACCCGGTGTTCTTTAATTTCTGAGTCACGACCCTGGTTGGCTTCTTTATTGGGCTCATTGATCTTGTCCTGAAGACCCGCCAGTCCCGAAGGGGCTTCAGATTCCTCAGCCTTGGTGAACTTGCTGCCCTTCCATTAAAACACAGTTCTTTTCCCGGCGGGGACCCCGGAGGCAGCGCGGGGACGGGCTTCTTTGCCCTCTGGCTGGGCCTGGACCTCGCTGGCTCCCGAGAGGCGACCTGGTTCCCCTTAAACCCTAGGTTGGGATGACTGGAGTTTCCGAGGGAACTGGGAGATGTGGAGGGATTCACTCCGCCGGCATGAAAAACAAGAGGCCTGGCTGCGAACCCCCCGGGAAGCCGAAGCTGGTGCTCAGCTCCCCTGCATGCAGCCCGGACACCCAGTGCTTCGGGTTATACCGCGGGGCTTGCAGCCCGGCACATATTCCTTGGACTTTCTTGGAACTCTTGTCTACACGGTTCGACTCCGGACCCTTGGCTCTTCTTTCCCTGCTAGGGACCCGAGCGTGCCTGGAGAGACCGCCTGTTCTGAAGCCCTAGCACGGTTTTGCGCTAGGCTCCCGGTACCCGCTCCGCTGGTGGAAAGGTCCGGGGGCTCAGACTGGTCCTCTTAAGAGTTTTGTTGAACAGGGAAGAAGGAGGGAACAGAAATTTAAACACGTTTGCCGGAAACGGGTTGCGGGGGTCGAATGCAGAGAGGGGTGTTGGMATCCAACAGGGCTTGGTCCAGGTGCGTTTGGAGAGGAAACGCCAAGACGATAGTATCCAAAAACCTGGAGTCGGGCGGGATCCCGGCCAATTTTCGTTTGGTGATTTTTGTGTTTGTTTTTATTTGATAGGTCTGGCGGGATCGAATTGGGAAGTTTATCCTGTTAACTTCGATCTGGGGTAGACTTGGGTGGAAGAAGCGCCGCCAGGGACGCGTTTGCTTTCCCGCGGACTCGCACAGCGTTGCCCGCAATGGCTCTGTGGGCGCCAGGTGAAGCCGAGCTCCAAGACAAGGTGTGCTACCCACTCGAGAGGTTCCAGAGCACCCCCCAACAACTGGCTGCTTACTACCCGCCTTTTTCTGCCTATGGGCACTACAGGAGTGCCTTGTCCAGCACCGAGGAGGATTTCCAGCCGCTAGGGCGTCTGGAGGCAGCGGTGTCTGCGTCCCAGGGGCTGACTCCTTTCCCCTTCCCGATGGCATCTCCCTTGTTGACCTCGGATCTGGCTCTACAGAGGGAGCCACTCTATGATCTGGCTTGGTACAGCAAGATGTCACTGTGGTACCCAATTCCTCACCTCCCCAGGGAGGTGCCACACTTTCCGAGTAGCCAAGAGTACTCCAGTGCCAGCAACGAAGATTTGGTCCCCGTTGGTGGCCGCAGCGACAGTGACCAGGGTTGTGGAACTGATACTTCAATTCCGCCGCTTCCTAAGGAGGCCTCCTTGTTATCGCAGGGGCAGAAGACCTCCCAGTTAGCATCTCGGTCCCCCAGCAAGAGATTTGAGGATGGTCCCAAACAGCTAGACCCAGAAGGGAAATCACCTCCTCCCTGTTTMCACTTCACGAAGGAGGACCTGCACTTCGTTCTTTATGGGGTTACTCCCAGCCTGGAACAGCCAGCCCGCTTCCACTATGCGATTTCCGGCTTACTCATCCCCACAGACAGTTCTGGTAAAGGGAATTCACATCATCAGGAGTTGGACTGTATGGGAACAGGATGGGAGCCAATAGGTTGAGAGTCAGCGGAGTGGGGGGTGTKAGGCTCTACTTAACTGCATAATCCCTAAGGTTGGTTTTAGTAAAAGCTGAGGACCAGGAAAGAAATGGTTCATCCAGAAGCCTTGGGGGAGTGCAAGTTTCTGTACTGCAGTCTCAAGTTCTGCATACTTGGTGCCAGTCTAGCGATCTACCTTGACCTTAATTAAGAATTATCTCCGGGCTGGGGTTGCGCTCAGTGGTAGAGCACTTACCTAGCTTGTGTGAGGCTGGGTTCCATCCTCAGCACTGCATATAAATAAATGAATGAAATAAAGGTTCATCAGCATCAAAAAAGAAGAAGAAGAAGGAGGAGGAGGAGGAGGAGGAGGAGGAAGGGGAGAGAGAGAGAGAAAGAGAGAGAGAGAGAGAGAGAGAGAGAAAATTGTCTCCAACGCTGGGGATATAGGTCAGTTGGTAGAGCGCCTGCCTTGCATGCACAAGGTCCTGGGTTCAATTCCCAGCACCACAAAAAAAGAATTCTCTCTGACTCTCAAGTTTGCAAAATGGAATTAATTACTTCCATGGAGGATTGCTTTGGGTCTCAGATGAGAGATTATGTATGAAAAGCTCATGGTAAAGAAGCAGGAAAAAATAATAAGGAATAGATAAACATCAAACTCAGTGATGATTTCCTCTAAGAAGTAAGAAGGGAAATTATAAAAGCATTTTCAATATATTTTTAATTGAAAAAATTTTTTAACCCTCCCTTTTTCCTAGGGTCTGATCATATTCCTCAAGTTCCAGATAAAGACTCACTTCAGCTTCCAGAAGGTGGGAAGCAGTCCTTGCTTGGATTTCTTTCTCGCAACTAATATGGATCACTTTCCTTATTCATTTTTTCCTGCCTTGGGTTTCTCCTAGGTCTCTGCATCATGCAGATGATGTTTGGTGAAATTCCACATTTTGGTGTGTTCTGCAGTAGCTTTATTGCCAAAGGAATCAGGTTTGGGCCCTTTGAAGGTAAAGTGGTCAATGCCAGTGAACTCAAGACCCACGGAGACAATTCTCGGATGTGGGAGGTAAATATCTTCTGGTGTGTCTGCTTCAAGTGGGGAGAGAGAGAGGAGAAACCTTGTCCTTTGCCTCTGCAAGAGTCATRGAGAAGGGACAGCAGCTGCTCACTTCATCAGAGGCATCTCTGCATGAATTGCTTGGTGTCCCAGATCATTTTAATCTGTGAAGATTAGCCATTGAATATACATGTAAATTTTTATTTAAAGAATTAATATGTTCTGTTATATTTGTAGAAAGACTCAATGCTTTAAATGTTGTAGGGTGCTTAAATTATGCTGAAGGCAATAAAAATGGATTTTAGACATTGATATTGTTTACCTATAAAATTAGCAGAGGGTTTATGAATTGATACTCTTCAAGCTAGTGACAGTATAGGGGGCATGCTGGTGACACTGCACTTTATTAATATGCAGGAGAAAACCATTTATAAGAACTACTAGGTATCTTAAAATGTTAAACACTTTCATGGGGCTGGGGGTGGGGCTCGGGCTTGCCTGGCACATGTGAGGCACTGGGTTTCGATCCTCAKCACCACATAAAATAAGTAAATTAGTAAAACAAAGGTATTGTGTCCATGTTCCACTAAAAAAAAAAAAAAAAGTGAACTTGCTGTGCTAGCAGTGGAAAAAGAATTAAATTACGGCTCCATCCATATTGTTGAAAACTAGATAGAAATTAATCTGTTTTTAAGTGGTGGGGTTAAATGTTTACCTTCCCTTTTCATGAAATTAACATACGCTTACAAAATTTGGGAATCAACAAAGCCATAGGACTGGGTGTGGTGGCATATGCATAGGATCCCAGTGACTCTCGAGGCTGAGGCAGGACAATCAAAAGTTCAAGACCAGCCTTGACAACTTATTTTGAGATTGTATCTCAAAAAATAAAAAGGGCTGGGGGCTAGGGTGGTGGCTCAGTGGTAGAGTACTTGCTTAGCATGTGTGAGGCACTTGGTTTGATTCCCAGCACCACATGTAAATAAATAAAATAAAGGTCCATTAACAGCTAAAAAATATTTTTAAAATGAATAAATAAAAAGGGCTGGGGATGTAGCTCAGTGGTAAAGTGCCTTGGGTTCAATCGTCAGTACCCAAAACAAAAACAAAAGTGATAGGATTAGGAGTTAGATTAGTCAGTAGTAGAGTACTTGCCTAGCACAGATAAGAGTGTTGGGGATTCAATTGGGTTGGATCCCAAATACTGGGGGGAAAAAAGAGAAAGAAAAAGAAGGAAGAATGAAAGTATGGATCTTTTAAAATTATGTCCCCTATGGAAATGTCCTTAAGCTAATAAATTTACTTAGGCTTACACAGATTTATATATTTCTTTTAATGATACAGAAATCTGAAGTAGCTAGGCATGGTGGTTCACACCTGTAATCCCAGTTTATTGGGAGGCCAAGGTAGGAGAATCACAGGTTTGAGGCCAACCTGGGCAACTGAGTGAGAATTTATCTCAAAATAAAAAGGGATGTGAATGTAGCTCAGTAATAGAGTGCTTGCTATCACGTGTAAGGTCCTGGATATTGTCCCTAGAACCACAAAAACAAAACCCAACCCTGATTTACAGAAGTATATTTGGTAGACTCGAGTGTAAGATTTGGATTATTGTTAAATCTACTGAGATCGGTTCTTGTTATGATACTCAGGCTGGCCTTGAACTCTTGAACTCCAGTGATCCTTCTGCCTTAGCCTCCCGGATAGCTGGGACTACAAGCTCATATTGCTATGCCCAGCCTTTGATGTTTTTTTGTTTGCTTAGAAAACTATATACATGTAATAAACACAGTTCTTTGTAGCACTGGAGATTGAACATAGGGCCTCATACACATGAGGAAGTGTTCTACCACTGAGCTATGCCCCTAGGCCTGATTATTAATTTTTACTACATTTATTTTATAGATTATGCAAAAAAAGAAAAAAAGTACAAATCCAAACTTCATGTCTTATTTCATTTAGGTCTTTGAAGGTGGTAATTTGAGCCACTTTATAGATGGAAAAGGTACAGGGAATTGGATGACCTATGTCAACTGTGCCCGATTTCCGAAGGAGCAGAACCTGGTTGTCATACAGTGTCAAGGGCAGATATTTTATGAGAGCTGCAAGGAGATCTACCAGAACCAAGAGCTCCTTGTGTGGTATGGAGACTGCTATGAGAAATTTCTGGATATTCCTGTGAGCCTTCAGGTCACTGAGCAGGGCAAGTCGCAATCTAATCCTTCTGAAGGTGAGCACCCATCTGGACCTTCTGGTGGAAGAACTGGGCTCTTTTCCTAAACCTTCTTTGCAGAGCTTCTCCATCCCAGGTGCGATGCATGAGGCTAAATTGCAGGTGTCTCTAAGGGGGTCATCGCTCAGCTGAAAGAAATTGTTTCTTTTCCAAGCTACTTCCACTCCCAGGGCATCTTTTTTCCCCCACCCTTTCTCCCCTTCCTGAGAATAAAAAAAAAAAAAAAAAAAAATGAAGTAAATGGATGCCACTTTTGCCTTAGGTGAGTCGGGTTTAATCTCTGCCCTGATAACAATGCTGATAAAGAAAAAGTGCTTAGAGCAGTGTTTTTTAAATGGTGGGTTGCAGTACCTTAGCGGGGTAGGAAATCAATTTAGTGATCAAGACCAGCATTAAAGGAAAAAAAAAAAAAGAATAGGAGCAAATTAGAAGAGAAAATATTGATGGGAATCACTTGAGAAATAAGTGTTGTGTTGTGAAGTTTTTGTTTCAAAGGGATACATCCATGTTGTTGTCAAGTATGAAATGTATTTATTGTGTGTCGCAGGCAAGTTGGAGAAACATTGAGCTAGGCTTTAGTTTTCAAACTTGAACCACCTGGGGATCTTGTAAATTTGTCAGTTCTCATTCAGGGTTGGAGCCCACTACACATATGTGTTTATGTATGTGTGTGTGTGTTTTGTAGTGCTGGGGATTGGGAACCCAGGGCCTGGCACATGGCTGGTAAGCACTCTACCCTGTATCCCTATCCCAAAACTCTGTATTTCTATGGGGATGCTGCTGCTGCTGMTGATGGTCCTTGAATCCCATTAGACTAGCAAGAAGTTGGGGACCACCAACACTGTGAGTGAGCCTCTGAAATCCGTTTCCCACCCTCATCCTAGGCTGGGGATCAGAACCCAGATTCTTACAGGAACCAAGTGCTCTACTATTGGCCTACATCCTAGGTGTGGAATTTGCATTTTTAATTGATTTTGTGTTTTTCCTTACACATACAAATGTTTGGGAACTACTAATCTACTATGTGGCACAAGACTAATTAGATTATTATGTGTAATCATACAGTATCATAATATAATAATATAATGTCATTATGGTATAATAAATGTACTAAATCACAGACTAAAGAACATGTGATTTGCTGGATGCCTTGGCACTGGCCTATAATCCCAGATACTCGGGAGGCTGAGGCAGAAGGATTGAAAGTTAGCAAGACCCTGTGTCAAAATAAAAAAATATAAATTTTTAAAATAGGTTGGGGATGTAATGTAGCTCAGAGGTTGAAYGCTTGCATACCATGTGTGAGGCCCTGGGTTCAATCCCTAGTGCCATGGAGGAAAAAGAAGAAAAGAGAAGAATGCTAATCAACTTACAAAATATAATCATCATCCTTTTGAGAAATTATTTTTTTTAAACTGAACTATTAGCTGGGAATGGTGGTACACACCTGTAATCACAGCAGCTTTGGGGGCTAAGGCTGGCAAGTTCAAAGCCAGCCTCCGCAACTTAGAGAGAACCTAAGCAACTTAGCAAGATCCTGTCTCAAAATAAAAAGGGCTGGGGATGTAGCTCAGTGATAGTGTGCCCCTGGGTTCAATCCCTGGTAACCCTCCCCCCCCAAAAAAAAAAAAAAACGAATAAATTGTCAAAAGGAAAAAAAGCTTTGTCCTTGAGGATTTTAACTATAGCATCATCCATATTAATGAGAAATGAAGACAGCCTAATTGCTGAACAGTAGAATTGTCATTAGGTAAACCATAATATATTGTTACCATAGCAGTATGCAGTTGTGGAGGTCACAATTATAACAAGCAATAGGGTAAAGACTTATGGTGGAGGAAAAAAATAACATACAGTGGGTGACCCGTGTTCCAGTTCTGAACCAAACTGGATGTTTACAGCATTATTAGATGACCTGTAATTGAACATTGTTTGGAAGGGAACTTTTTAAACAACTTAATTTGTTGGGAAGACTTGTAGATGAATTCATTGTAGATGTTTTCCATTAATATGATTTTGAACCCAGGTCCTCTCCCATGCCAGGCAAGTGATCTACCTGTGAGCTACCACCCCAGCCCAATATTAATTTATTTTGACATAAGAAAGAAAGATTAGAGGTGCACACCTGTAATCCCAATGACTCAACTGGGGAGGCTGAGGCAGGAGGATCCCAAGTTTGAGGCCAGCCTTGCAATTTAGTGGAACCCTGTCTGAAAATAAAAGAAAATGAGCTGGGATGTAGCTCAGTGGTCAAGTGCCCCCCTGAGTTCAATCCCTAGCACAAAAAAACCCCCAAAGATTCCTCTGTGGTACTCTGTCAAAAGAAGTGTGTGTGTGTGTGTGTGTCTGTCTGTCTGTCTGTCTGTCTGTCTGTCTGTCTCAAAGGCTTTTTGGTGAGGACTTGTCTTGAGTGGGGAGGGAAGGGTCAGGACCCTATGTGGGTAAGTTATTTGAGTGTGTGTGTGTGTGTGTGTGTGTGTGTGTGTGTGTGTGTGTTGGTGGAGGTGTGGGGCATGAAAAAAAACTTTTTTGTTATGGTGAGAACACGTAACATGAAATCTACCATCTTGAAGACAACTCTTAATCATTACTAAACAATATAAACTGTTTGGGCAGAAAGTATCAATATCAGTGTTGGGAAACCCCTTGGCTTAAATGGAATGGTTGATTGCATTAGGAGGAAGAAAAAGGAAAGAAACACAATAAAATCAGGTTAAGGTACAGTTCCAAAGAACTGATCAGGAAATGGAGTTAACTGAAGCTCAGTGAGGATCACTGTTTTATTTCTTCCTAGCTAGTTATTCTTATGCAAAATCAGTATTAGACCCTTTTTTTTTTTTTTTATTTTGGTGTTCTTTGTAAAATGTTTTGATTTGTAGAATCACTGACCAGACCTAGTTTGAAGAACCTCTCATTTACTCCAGGAAAGGCAGGTATTTCTGAGCAGTGAAAATTCTAGCCCAGAGTTGAGATATCCCCTTCAGCAGGGGGATTCTGAGAATACTAAGCTCCTCCGTGAAAGTGACAGGCAGGATGAAGGTTCTTCCTGGGTTGGCTGTGGCCTTCCTGGTTATTTACTTAATGAATGGTTTATTTCCTTAGTCACCTGKTGTTGACCATGCCTGGGACGTAGTTGCCAAATAACAAAGCCCCTGGTGGACAGCTTCCCTGCTGTCCTGATGTTAAATGATTTCTATCTGCAGATTCTTGCATAGTCTCACTGTAGGCTCTTCTCCCTCCTTGGGAGCAGACAATGAGGTCTCCATGGTGCATTTCATAGTCAAAGCCACTTTATCCTCCAGATTTCAGAGTGTCCTCAGCAGGGGGTATTTTTGTAGGTGGCCCCTGTTCTGTCCCCTGCCCCCAACACATAGAACCTCAGGACCTCAGACTTCCTTTGCTCTAACCTCTCTCCTCCCCACCCTGCCTCTCCTCCACTAACAAAAACAGATTTACCTTTCTCAGATTTGCCTGCCACATGGTAACTTGGTATCACATGGTTAGAATCCAATCACACATCACAGTCAYTCTGTATTCAGGAAGGTAAGATGTTTTCACCCTACTCTGTGTGAATATTCTAGATCTGGAGTTTCCCTGAAAAGTTCAGGCAAATGAGTTATAAAATAAAGAGGGAAGAGCCTGGGAAAGCCAGCAGTGGGTAATGGCTGTTCAGAATGCCTTAGGCACTACACATGCCTCCAGATATTACCTTGTGACAAGGCCAGGAAAGAAGGAGCAGCAGAATTGAATGAACCACTCTTAAATTAGGCTGGAGGGAGGATTTCTTCAACTAAAATGTTTCAGGGAAGCAAAGAGAAAGAGATCTGCAGATGAAGACATTTAAGAAACATATAACCATGCTGTCGTATAGACTGTGTAGACTTTGAATCCTAAGTTAGTCAAACTGTAAATAACATATGTGTATTTCTAAGGAATAAGTTGATTTTTTTTTCTTTTAGGTATGACAATGGCATTATGGTTTTTTGTTTTGTTTTGTTTTTTTGATACTGGGGATTGAATCCAGAGACACTTAACCACTGAGCCACATCCCCAGCCCTTTTTATTTTGAGACAAAGTCTCGCTAAGTTAGTTAGGGCCTCGCTAAATTGCTGAGGCTAGCCTTAAACTTGTGATCCTCCTACCTCAACCTCCTGAGTCAMTAGAATTACAGGCATACACCACCACAACTATGATTGAACTTCTTAAAAGTCTTTACCTTCTAAAAATAACAGTTTGAGTTATTTATGAACCAAATGATGTATTAGAACTCTAATCATTATGGAGAGAAATGACACAAACAAAACTAAAATTAGCTATAAGTTAGTCATTGTCAAATTGGTGTCAGGCACATGAGAGTTTATTATACTTTTTTTGGGGGGGGTACCAGGGATTGAACTCAGGGATTCTTGATCACTGAGCCATATCCTCAGCCCTTTTTATTTTTTATTTAGAGACAAGGTCTCACTAAGTTGCTCAGGGCCTTGATAAGTTACTGAGGCTGGATTTGAACTGATGATCCTCCTACCTCAGCCTCCTGAGCCAGTGGGATTATCGTATGCACCACTGTGCTTGGTAAGAGAGTTTATTACATTATTATTTTGACTTTGTGGGGAGACTCCAGATCTTGAATATTCACACATAGAGTAAGGGTGAAAACATCTGATTACAGTTTTAAAATCCTTTGGAGGAATAGGAAGGGCTAAGTGGCCAACAAACCCACTGGCACTTATCCTTGTGTTTGACAGAATCTGAAGAAGGTTACAGATGCGAAAGATGTGGGAAAGTGTTTACCTACAAATACTACAGAGATAAGCACCTCAAGTATACCCCCTGTGTGGACAAGGGTGATAGGAAATTTCCCTGTTCCTTCTGCAATCGATCTTTTGAGAAGCGGGACCGCCTGCGAATCCACATCCTTCACGTTCATGAGAAGCACCGGCCTCACAAGGTGAGTGGGGTGGGGAAGGGTGAATGAGCTGCGGGCCCTGTCATTGCACTCTGCTTTCACATCCCTACACTCCTGGGCAGCAGTGGAGGGCCTCCTGGRGGCTGATTGGAAGGGCACTGCCTGGCAGGGAGTTCTCTAAAGGAGGTAGACAGATATACACCTTAGGTTGGGTGCCAAATTGCTTCCCAGAGAAGGTATCCATTTATGGTCCACCCACCTGGGCTTATGTAGTAAGCAGCGACTGCTCTCCTGCCAATAAAACTATCCTTTTTTGATAGATGGGAAAGGGCTTCAGTTTGCATCCTCATTATTAATAATAAAGTTTAGATTTTTAAAATATATTATTTCTATTTGCCTGTGATTTGTCAGGTTTTTTTTTGGGGGGGGGGGGGGCTTTGGTAATTAGGATTGTACCAGGGGTGCTTTACCACTAAGCTGTATCTCCAGCCCTTACACAGCCCCACTAAGTTAACCAGATGGCCTTGAATTTGAGATCTTCCTGTTATCCCTGGGATTTTGGGTTGCACCATAGTCCCCACCAAATAATTGCTTATAAGAATACCTGGTGAGGGGCTGGGATTGTGGCTCAGCGGTAGAGCGCTCGCCTAGCACACGTGAGGCCCTGGGTTTGATCCTCAGCACCATGTAAAAATAAATAAAATAAAGATATTTTTTAAAAATTGTTAAAAAAAAAAAAAAAAAAAAAGAATACATGGTGAAATTAGCCAAGCTGGGGCTGAGGAGTAGCTCAGGGGAATGCTTAACCATTAAGCCATATCCCCACCCCTTTTTAATATTTTATTTAGAAACAGGGTCTCAGGGAGTTGCTTAGGGCCTCACTAAGTTGCTGAGGCTAGTTTTGAACTTGCAATCCTCTGCCTCAGCCCCCTGAACAACTAGGATTACAGGTGTGTGCTGCCATTCCCCGTTTACATGTTGAGATTTTTTTCTGTGTCTAAGGATATTTTATTTTCATATTAAATTAAAATTTTGGCTAGATAGAGAATTTTGTTTTTATTCATTGATCTGTTAAATTGATACATAAAAGTTGTCCATTTGTATGGGAGAATTATGTGATTTGTGTGTGTGTGTGTGTGTGTGTTGACATTGTGTAATGTTAAAATCAGAGTAAGCATATCTACTCAAACATTTGTTGTTTTTGTCTTTCCGTTTTTCATATTTCTTTGTGGTGCTGGGGATGGAACCCAGGCCCTTGTACAGTACATCCCCAACCCCCTGGCAACCTTTTGGTGGCTGTGCCTTTAGTAATTTTTTCACAGTGTGTAACTGAAGTGTGTATGTCTTTTGACCCCCCCAAACTAGCCTTTTTTGTAGGTATTACATGCCTGAGATCAYCTGTCTCCCTGCATTGCCATTACAGTTTATATATTCCCCGACACCCCTACCAGATTTTTAGCCTGTTACTTCTAGCAGAGTGTTAGGCACCTAATAAGTACTGCATAAATACTAGAATTAATCACACAGTGCCTGTGTGTTCACTCATGAGGAAGGCAGATAGGTATTTTGCTCATGAGGAAGAACAGGAAACAAAGATTCAAAGTTTACTGACTTGGTCACACAGCTACTTCTTTTTTTGGTACTGGGGATTTAACCAAGGGGCAGTTTACTACAGAGCTGCATCCCCAGCCCTTTTTCTTTATTTTTTTTTAGTTTGAGACAGTCTCACTGAAGTTGCTTAGGATCTCACTAAATTGCTGAGGCTGGCCTGATACTTGCAGTCCTCCTGTCTCAGCCTCCTGCATTGCTAGGATTATAGGCATGCATCATCATACCTGATTCATGTGAAGCTTCTGACACCCAAAGGTGCTGGATGAAATACCTAAAGTCATAGCATTAGTGTTAATAGAACTGGGCAGAATCTAGACCAAAGCCCACACTGCCTGACTCTTCAGCTTACCCCAGATGTCTTTCTACCTCTTAAATGAACCCTCAGCTTGGGGAGTACAATCGATCCACTGCTTATAGACACACACACACACACAATAAACATAAGAGTTCTTTCAGCCCCTGGTGGACAAAATGTCAGGATAGACTTGTTAGAGGAAGACAGGGCTTCAACTCTGTTTTTCTTTCTCACCTAGTGTTCTACATGTGGGAAATGTTTCTCTCAGTCCTCCAGCTTGAACAAGCACATGCGAGTTCACTCTGGAGACAGACCGTACCAGTGTGTGTATTGTACAAAGGTAAGTGGAACCTCCTTCTGAGTGGTATATCTAGCATCCTGCATGGTAATCCATGGGTAAGAACGGGAGTGTAGAGCCTAGTTTATAATGTGTTTTTGGTAAATATTAGTCCAATTAACCAGCCCAATCCCCATTTGCATCCCACAAATATGTTCCAGATGGTCTAAAGAGGCTGAAGATGGTCAGACATGACCTCCTATAACTAAGCTGGCATTTGGAGCATGTGTAATAAACTATACCCTAAATTATAACTATAGAGATCTGATGATCACAGACACATAGAGTTTAAGAGCATGGCTGCATGCAGTGGCGCACGCCTGTGATCCCAGTGGCTCGGGAGGCCAAGGCAGGAGGATCACAAGTTCAAAGCCAGCCTCAGCAAAAGCGAGGTGCCAAACAACTCAGTGAGACCCTGTCTCTAAATAAAATACAAAATAGGGCTGGGGATGTGGCTCAGTGGTCAGTGCCCCTGAGTTCAATCCCCAGTACCAAAAAAAAAAAAAAAAAAAGAATTTAAGAGCATGGTCTTGGCCAAGGTTCAAAGAGCATAGCATGATGGACTTAGACTTGGTTGTAACCTTGTGAAAATTCATTAACTTCTCTGTTGTTTAGTTTCTTCATTGGTAAAATGCGAGAAAATAGTCTTCACAGAGTTTTTAGGTTAAATGTGTAAAACTCACTTAATAATGCTTGACATATGGTAACCACTATTGAAATGTTTTCTACTATTATTACTACTTAAATGTATGAAGACTTAATTGGGGGAATGCTGTTGATGTAGCTTTCTAGAGAGACATGGTGGGTGACTTCTAATCTATGTTACACAGAATATAGAGTTAGAAAAACAGGGAGGGGGAGAAAAAGAAGATAAAAATGGAGAGGGATTAGAAGTGAGAGGTTGCTGGAATAGAGATAATTTGTTCATGCTTTAGGAAAAATATAACAAAATAACCTCCTTCTGTTTTGATAATAAGCATCTATACTGTCCAATGGGTACCCATCGCCCTATGTGGCTATTTGAATTCATAAAAACGAAATAAATTGAAAATTCTGTTCTTAGGTTGCACTTGGCACATTTTAAACTCAGTGGCCATACATGGCTAGCACAGCCACATTGGATAGCACTGGTAGACTACGCTTCTATCAGGGTGATGAAACAGACGGGTGCATCACACTTGTGCTGAATACTGCTCAGCAATAAAAGAGGAAGGAACTGTTGATAAGCACAGCAACCTCAGTAAACCTCAGCAAATCCTAGAAGGTCACCGATGATACGATTCCATGGATAGAACATTCTTGAAATGACAAAGTTATAGAAATAGAGAGTAGATGAGTGGTTGACATGGTTTAAAAAGAAAGTGGGAATGGAAGGGAATTTGGTGTGCTCACAAAAGAACACTATGGTGGGGGGAGGGTATCCTGGGGAAGAAAATGTTTTGACTCTGTCAATGTCAACATCCTGATTGTGATGTTATAATCTAGTTTTGGTGTAAGACATAACCATTGAGGAAAACTGGGTAAAGGGTCTATGTTTTTATTTACTATTGACCATAAATCTATAGTTAACTCAAAGTTTAAATTAAAAAAGGAAAACTAATAAGGCACTGACTTATGCAAAGACATTAGCCCATACTAACCTGTCCTTTGGTAATGCAGTTTGTCTTGAAGGATGTCTTATTTAAATGCTGGCTCCTGGGTCTTGTGTCATGTTTTTTTTTTTTTTTTTTTTTTTGGGTGTCACGCTCTCTAGGGTAGAATTGATAATGTTTTATTGGGTTTTGGGAGGGGTTTTTTTTGGTAATTTTGCTTTTGAGTTTTGGGGTTTTTGTTTTGTTTTGTTTTTTAATCTTTTTGTGGTGCTTGAGTTTGAACCCAGGCCTTTGTGCATATGAGGAATCACTCAACTACTGACCTACACCCCAGCCTGCAATCTGCATTTTTAACTGGAGTTCCCAGTGATCATAGCCAGGGCTACTCAAAACTAGCCAGAATGACAAAGCAGTCTAGTTCTTTTTGATAAGGCTTCTGCTGCCACCTTGAATCTAAGATATTTGTTCATTGGAGAGGTAATGGAATGACATCCATATTAGCAACAAGGAGCTGGGTACTATCGTGCCTACCTGTAATCAAGTTCGGAATCAGCCTGGACAATTTTGCAGATCTTGTCTCAAAATGGAATTTAAGAAGGACTAGGGGGGTTGTAGCTCAGCGGGGGAGCACTGGTTTACCAGGGGTGGGGGTTGGGGGGTTCCTGGGGGTAGATTTATTGATGCCTTTCTTAACAAGTTGACCAGCCCACAGAAATTGGCTTTTTTCCTTCTGCTTTCTGTTCTCTGCAGAAGTTCACTGCCTCCAGCATACTCCGCACACACATTAGGCAGCATTCTGGGGAGAAGCCCTTCAAGTGCAAGTACTGTGGGAAATCCTTCGCTTCCCATGCTGCCCATGACAGCCAYGTCCGGCGCTCTCACAAGGAAGATGACGGTGGCTCCTGCCTCATTTGTGGGAGAACCTTCCCAGATTCCGATGCTCTTTATTGCCACATGCAGTTTCATGGAAACCTCTAGCCATCCAAGTGGAGCAGTGTGAGAACCAAGGACTTGGATGCCCTCCTTCTGGTTCTTGTTAGGGGTGAGTCGTAGGAACAGCTGGTCATCCTATTGAACTGGCCTCTCTGCTGAACTTACCAGAATATTGACGGTGGCTTTTGCCGAAAGGTCTTTCACAATTGTTCATGAGACTAGAATGCTGATCGGCTTACCTACAAATAGTGGGAGCTGCAGGGTGACAGTGCCTGAGAGCCTGAAGATCCAACAGAAGCTCCCAGAGTGTCTCTTCAAGTCCCCGCAGCTCAAGGATGACAGACGGATTCCTAGGTTTCGTAATGGAAGAAAAGGAGATCTTCTCTCTGCTATTTGCTGTGGGTTCTTGATTGTACCATCTGTGGCTGTCAACTGTTGAAAATTTCCTAATATTCACCCAAGCCAGAACTTCTTCAGAGGTGAATTAGTCTTTGATATTTATTTGGATTCATTTTAAACCTTTTTGTTGTTCCTACCCCTCCCCCACCACATGAGAAATGTATGTTTAGCACCAAACAGAATTAGAGGGCACAGCCATTACCAGTTGCAGAAGAAAAATCATAGCCAAATGAAGAAAGTCTAAAAAATAAACATTTATGTTGCTCTGGCTTTAATTCTGATTTCATTCCTGATAAAGAAAGTGGACTACTTTTTCCCATGTCTTTCTGTCTTTCCAGGCTCAGGGTAACACAGAGAGTGCAAAAATAAATAAGAGAGGCCTGCTGAAACAAAGATAAAGGTTTTGTACAAGGTATCCCAAGGCTGATGTTGGGGGTGGGACTCAGCTTTTCTAATGTGCAGAGAGATGGTCTCACCTCATGTGGGTAGTAATACACTTGTTTGTTGAGCATCAACTCTACATGATGGTACCACTTACTGAGTGTGTCACTGTGTAGCAATTGAAGCTGAGATGAAGGAAGTAGTGGGAGATCACTCCCACTTTGGAGTAGGATTGACTCTAAAGATCAACCTCTTTTGATTGAACTCGGGGGCACTCCACTACCAACCACCGAGCCATATCCCCAGCCTTATTTTATATTTTACTTCAAGACAGGGTCTCACTGAGTTGCTTATGGCCTCACTGTTGCTGAGGCTGGCTCTGAACTTGGGATCCTCCTGTCTCTACCTCCCAAGCCACTGGAATTACARGTGTGCACTACCACACCTGGCAAGACTAACCTCTTAACCACTATGGCCAGTTTATGAAATCCTGCTAAGGAAATGCCATTTCCTATTAACTGTCACATTCTTCCCTACACCAAGGCAAACAACAAAACGCTTTTTAACTTCTATATTACAGTGGAATGCATTATAATTTTTATTACACAAACAGCACAATGTTTCATATCTCTGGTTGTGTACAAAGTATATTCACACCAATTCGTGTCTTCACACCTGTACTTTGGATAATAATGATCATCACATTCCACCATCATAAAATATTCACACAAGGGTTGGGGCTGAGGCTCAGAGGTAGAGTGCTCCCCTACATACATGAGGCACTGGGTTGGATCCCCAGCACCACATACAAATATGTGTCCACCTATAACTAAAAAAAWATTAAAAAAATAAAAATAAAATTCACACAAGGTGAAGGCTCTGCAAGCAACCTGAGCTACTAAGGATGTGAACCAGCCCCGGTCGTGGTTTTGTTGACCACCTAGGGGTTTAGGGGTTTGCTTCTCCCTGTAGCCATAACCCACTGTCTCAAAGTGGTGCAAATTCAATATTGAACAGATGTGCCTTCCAGAGGAGGGCTCCCAGCAGAAGCAGGGTCCTTTGAGCAATAGATATATGCAGGTGGAAAAGCAGTGACCGATTTTACTCCAGGGAATTCTTTGCTGCCTTGACTAGGTCTGAGTAATTTATCCTAATGGGAATGTGCCCTGTTGTTTTCGGACTATTTTAGTTCATGTTAATTAAGTCAGAACAATGGTCTTGAAAAGATTGGGGGGAGGGCTCATCAYGTAATTAGGCAGCCTTTCTTTCACTGCAAGTTCAAAATATATTACTTAAAACACTTCTTATTGCTTAGGGGTTTGAATATTGTCCTTTTTTTTTTTTAAATATTTAAAGTTGTAGATGGACACAATACCTTTTTTATTTATTTATTTTTATGTGGTGCTGAGGATCGAACCCAGTGTCTCACGCATGCTAGGCAAGCGCTCTATCACTGAGCCACAACCATAGCCTTTGAATATTGTTTTTAAATTGAATAGTAGAATAAGTCCCCAGAAACTGGTATGACCCCCATTTTTTCATTCATTGAAAAAAAATCAAACTGTTTTCTTTGTTGCAATTGAATAACAGCAAATGCAGGCGAGTTTTTGTTTCTTTGTTTGTTTCATTTTGCTATCCAATAGTCACCCAAATATGTTCATGTCAAATAATACATGCACGCCACACAGGAAAAATTTTTGTTTTCTGGTATGGGGGATTGAACCCAGGGCATTCAACCACTGAGCCACATCCCCAGTCCTATTTTGTATGCTATTTAGAGACAGGGTCTCACTGAGTTGCTTAGGGCCTCACTGTTGCTGAGGCTGGCTTTGAACTTGCCATCCTTCTGCCTCAGCCTCCTGAGCTGCTGGGATTACAGGCATGCACCGCCACTCCTGGCCACACTGGAAATTTTTGAGAATCACTTCATTCAATCTGATCTGTTTGAAAAGTTTTGAATATATTTATCTGGTTACATATCTCAGTTTTTGGTTTTGGAAATAAAGTAAATTGCCCAAGCTGGTCTTAATATCTTTCTTGATAATTAATCTGAAGCTTTTTTATGTTTTTTTCTGTGTATGTCACCTCTCTAAATATGATTTGAACCAGCTTGTAGCACTAATAAAAAGTAGAAGACAAACCACTTCATAGAAGGTAGAATTGAGATGGGGCTGTGGTTGTGGCTCAGTGGTAGAGCGCTTGCCTCGAATGTGTGACTCACTGGATTCAAGTCTCAGCATTGAATATAAATAAATGAATAAAAGTCCATCAACAACTAAAAAAAATAAAGTAGAATGGGATTAAAACTCTGAACTAATATAATTGTGATGACTAAAAAGTGTTATAAGCACCAAACTATATAAAAATATAGAATTTGGAGTTGCCCACCATTTCCTCATTGTATAAAGTTGATCAAGTAATTTAATTTCTGAGGTCTTACATCTTCATCCATAAAATAAGGCAATAATTATTTTGTAGGGTGTTATGAGAATTAAATGAGACTGTGTATACTGGGTGATGCTTGATAAATATTTCCTTCTCTTTAACTGTTACCATAAAAGGTAGCCGAGTGCAGAAGTACACATCTGTAATCCCAGCAACTCTGGAGGCTGAGGCAGGAGGATTGGAAGTTCCAGACCAGCTTGGGCAATTTAGTGAGACCTTCTTTCAAAATTGAAAATTAGGGCTGAGAATGTAGTTCAATGGTAGAGTGCTCCTGGGTTTAATCCCCAGTACCCACAAAAGGAAAATTCTCTTGACTTGACCCATTTTTTTACTGAATCCAAAATTTGGGGGAAGTGGAGCTCAGCCATCCATAATGAGTTCAGGAACCATTACTTTATTTGATTTCACCCAGTTCCTGAAACAGCAATGAATGAAAGTTAGTAGCATGGCAAAATCACAAAGCCATATATTAGGAGACAGCATTAGCGTGTAGATTGCAGGCAGAGCAATATACTTGCTTACTGGGGTTAGTGGAAAAGCAGAGAATGAATACATTTGGTCATTTTACTGTTGTAAATAAGGAACTCCACAGCGACGGAGCCTTGTTATGGAAACTACTGTTAGTTTCTCTGCTCATACTTCTTTGCCCCACCTGATTCTATCTGCTAAATGATGGTACATTCCTTAGAGTTAAACAAAAAATGTATAAAAAGGGACATTTGAAACCCTGGAAAAATGAAGCTCRAAGTAGAGTGGCATCAGTGATATTGATGGAGCACTTAATGGGCCCTCAGGGTGCCCTAGGACTTGGCGAAGTTGTCAGTTGCACAGCAAACAAAACTGTCAAAGTAGACAGATGCCTGGGACCCCAGTGGACCTGCGGTAGGCTCAGTGTTGTGGCCATAAAGTCAGCTTAGTTTTTTACGCAGGCAAAATACTGGAAAGATTGGGAGGAGCTGCCCTTCACAGTATAATAGAGCTGAGATCACGAGTACCATCCGAGACCCTCTACTACTGGGGGGTCCAGTTTTGACATGGTAGGTTGTAAGTGCTCTCAGAATTTCTTGTCTTGTATCAGGGCAGTAATTGCATAACTTTGTTATGAACAAAGTTCAGGAGAACAAATCTGTACGTTGAATTCTTTGAGTAGAGACTAGGTACCATGATTCTACAATATAGAATTCTTCCTGCCTCCACACAGTGCTAGAAATCATACCCAGGCCCTCCTGCATGGTAGTCTAGTGCTCTACCATTGAGCTACATCCGTAGTCCTTTCAGAACTTTTTCACTGACAAATATTAAGATAAAATAACCAAGATTATTTTAAAAGAAAAAGAATCCAGAAATAACTGCCTCCCATATTAATAAATTCTCTGTAAAGTATGGGAATTCCATAAGGGAACACATTTTCTATATGATTTAAAGAAATTACATATTCAGGAAATTGCTTCCATTTGTTACTGCAAACAATTTTCACCTTATTGGTTTGTTGGCTTAAGTAATCTTTATAGTATCTTGAAATGAGATACTTAGCCTTAATTACTAAGGTAATGGTTAGGAAGAAGATTGTGGTTCTGTTTTTGTATATGATATGATCTCAGGATAATGTATTCTTTCACTTTCATTCTTTTTCATCCAAATTATCAGAATTCTTATCTGGGGACTGGGGATGTAGCTCAGGGATAGAGCTCTTGCCTAACATGCACAAAGCCCTGAGTTCAAATGTGTAGTAACATTAATATCAAAGGGGTTGGCATTTCATTCTTGATTTTTAGAAATTCCTTAAAAGTGCTAATATTACTCTTCTTGCTTTCATATGT